TGGTGCCGGGGATGCCGGTGGTGCGATGCCGCCGGCCGTGAGGGAAGCCCCGAGCGGAGCCGGAGCCGCCCCCGGCGCGGCGGGCGGAAGGGGGACGGCGGGGGTTGGGAGGGGGAGGCCCCGCGCCCCCGGTGCCGCTCCGGGCATGCGCAGCAGCCGCGGAACATGGCGGCGGCGGCGTGAGGCGGGGGAATGCAGAGCGGCTTGACAGGACACCGCCGACTCGCGTCCCACCCGCCCGGTGAGTGGCGGCGGCAGCGCTTCTCGCTCCCCGCGGTGGCGGGCAGGGACAGGGACGAGCAGAGAGAGGGAGGCGAGGCGGGGGCGCGACCCCCAGGGCTCGCACCGCAACCTCCGCCCGCCGTGGCCTCGCCCGGGTCCCGGGTTCCCTTCCTCGGCAGCAGCGTTGCGCTGGGGCGGCTCCGGGTCTGGCCGGGGCTGCCCCGTGCTCCAGCGCCGCGTCTCGGTCTCTTGGCGCTGCCGCTGCCCTCCTGTGCGGGCTGAACTCGCGGCGCGGCGGAGCCCGCCCGCAGGGAGCGAGCGGCCGGCGGCAGGGCAGGAGCGGGGCTGCGAGGGTGAGAGGAGCGGGGCGGCTCTGTCTCCCGTGCTATCACAGTGCGTGTCTCTGTACGGGGCTGGCAGTGACTCCCGGCGAGCCGAGCTCCGGTGAGCAGGGGCGGCACGGGAGGGTGTATGAACTGCGTGTGCCTCGGGCCGGGTCCCGCTCCCCGGCGGAGCTGCGGCGTTTGACAGGACAGCAGCGCGGGCAGGACACGCCTCCCCCGCGGCCGCGGCTCCGCGCTCTCCCGAACGGGGCCGCCCCGACCGCCCTGCCCGGGGACCAGCGAGGCTGGCACGGTGCTGGGGAACGGGTGTGTGCCAGAGGAGCCGGGGCGCGTTAAATGTAATTTAATTCGGAATGCTCACTTGTGCTGGGTAAGCGGGCTGGGAGTRCCGCTTGAACACAGCCCGGTAGCAGATGTGGCCTGCTGGGGGGCACTTGTCGGGGTGCGATGCACTGCGGCACTCTTCCCGTTTTCTTTGCAGTTAAACCGCGTATGTGGCATTTATTGAGTGCCTGCTTTATAAATGGCGTTTCTTGCGCAGGGAGTCATAATTTTGGATGGTCCAAAGAAAGTAGTTCAACTATGGAAAGTTTTGTTGTTAGTGTTGTGCGTCGTTGTTGTCTTTAACTGCTAGGATAACCTACAAAACGCAGTGCTGTAGTATGTAATCAATATTCAAGTTAAATTTTATGCTCAATTATTCTTTAGGAGTGAAGGCACACTTTAAGTGTTAATACAATKTAAAGCTGAAGTCCTTTCCTACAGTTACTTGCCTTTTCTCACTGATTAGTTGGGCTATAAGAAATAGTGAAAAATAATTCAATGACCTAGAGATTTAATGAAAATGGGAAATATTGATACTTTAGTGACTTCTGATAATGTAAACTTTGCTTGTTACTTACGCATATCCTGACTAACATAGACAAAGTAATTAAATCTCTGTCGTTTTCAGAGCATGCTGTCTGACTTGTAGCTCTTCAGGTTTGACTGCTTATGAATATTTTATAATTCAGAATAACAGTCTTAGACCTTTGGATTTTTAAAGCGTTCCTACTGCACCTTACTGTTGGGAAGCGGCAGAGCAGAGCAGTTGGTGATGCAGTCGCTGAGGGTCGGTAACAATTGCAGCAGTGGTGCAGTTTGGAGCAGTAGTGCAGGGAGGCATTTGCTGTGTTACACTGGGGTTTTACACAGTCGTGTTAACTTTATGGAATAGAGAGGGGAGTGAATGCATTGTGCTGTAGCAGCTCTCCATGCTCAGCCCGCAGTAGCCCACAGCCCATGTGAGCTGTTGCACTGATGGTGTGTCCAGCGAAATTCCTTGTACAACCAGGCTGCGTGTTTGGGGGCAGAGGGGGCAGATTTTCTCCTTTGGAGTATCATAAMATGTAAGGATGAATTACTTGAATAGATGTAAGGAAAAAAAAAATGCATTGGAGACACGTCTGTTAGTACTTTTATATATGGGAAGTTGCACAGTAATGCAAGCGAGAAGCTGCAGGAAACAGTGTATGGTGAAACTGAGGCTGCGACCGGGAAGTGCTTGTATGGCTTTCAACTTTAACACAGTCTGGTCTTGAATAGGAAAGTAGAGTTTACTAATTTTGTTTGAAACTCAGTTGATGGAATTGRTGATCTAGTATTCTATTTGGTGTTAATAGGTAGCAATATTTGTGTGATATCTTTCAGTTTGCTTGGTATTTTGTATTTTTGTAGTAATGTTCAGATTCAGAAAAAAAAAAAAGTCGGCTTTTCATAATGTGCTATAGCTGCAAGTATAAACTACTTTCATGACAATTAGAAGCCATGTAGATATGAGAAAATAACATAACTAGATTGTTCTAGTAAGTATGTAAGTATTGATCTTSATGTAGGAAGGTTAGGAAAACAACAACAACAGTATACTTTAAAATATTTTTCCTTAGACTTTGTTCCTACATGGAATGTACAGATGCCTTTTTCCCCCTTTGCTGTGGCTGCCTTTGCTGTGTCCAGATAGTGTGCTCTTGTAAGGCAGAGGCATTGTTTTCTGGAGTAGCTACTCGAGTTCAAAAGAGGCATTTTGCTAATGTGAAATTTGTAGTACTGAGAAAATATTAATTCTGTTACCTGTCGGAAATTTGTGTGTATGGAATGCAGCCTTACTTGAGATTGTGAAAAAACTTGAAGCARACATAGCTGCTTCTGCCTGTTGTACATGGGTGTCTTTTGTTGTTTTCTTGATATCCCAGTGGGATTGTGAGGTGTGAGCCAGTCCTGTTTACTCCCTCTACTAAATCAACCTATGGGGACAGATGAAGTCCTCAGCAATTATCCACTGATAATAGTGTCACTAACAGGAAACGACATTTGCCATTAACTGTTCAGGACACKGCAGCTGGCTTTCTTATTTGTCTGGCTACATCTGCCTCAAACAAGGGTGAGTGMAATAGATAGTTATTCTTTTCATGTTTTAAGATAATCTTTAGAAAAACTGTTTGACAGTCTACTGTGATATTTTCTAAGTGTAAATGCACARCAAATTACAGGTAGGTATCAGGACACTGTTTCAAGGAGTCTACACAAGGGAGGTTGTTAACTAACTTTGTGACCGCCACATCTGCAGGGCATTTAAAATTCTGTTCATTCCCATTTGAAAGAAATAGCCTTAGGCACCCAGCCTTAGTGCCTATTGTTTCTTCCAGAGATTAAAATCTTAAATGTAAAGGACTATACCCTTCGTGTTTTTTAAGGTGTAAGACATGCAACATAAATTGTCCAGAATGAGATTTTTTTTTGGCATGTGAGAAGAGCCAGAAAAGCCCATATAAAATTGCCAAGGCATAATAGAGCAGCAGGCAGTTAGAAGCAATGAAAATGTTAAATTTAAATTTCCAGAATATCTGTTAGCACTGYAATACAATTTGATGAATAATTACTTTTTACTGTGATTTGTGGTTTTGGTATATGAGGGTGCTTTTTCTAGAGCAACTCGTACAGCTTCTTTGGAGACTTCTTTTAAGGTCCAAGTGTTCTATAACTCAATGTTAGGAAGCTTTAATATTCGTTTTATGCAGGTAAGTTTATTTTTGTCTTATAAAAATGTCTGACAACGGTGTTTGTGAGCAGCTTTACTTAYGATGTCCAAGTGGAGAGGCAATTAATTTGTTTGAGGTAAAGTCTCTAAAAAGTGAGGCAGTTAAGTCCTTAAGTGAGCTGTAGGGTTTTTTAAGAGTATGTTTCTGTGTGAATGCAATTTTTGTACCTTCCTGCACTGGTTTGATGTGTGTGGCAGTGAGGGCTGAGGGTGTGCACCCAGCTCCTGCCGCAGTTCTGGCCACGCAGCAGCAATGCTGGCTCCRTTATGGGAACAGCAGGAGATGGTTTGCTGAGTCACCTGCTCAGTCCAGGTGTGTTTCTGTAAACTCACCACATTGCCTGAAACTTCTGTTCTGTACCTGCCATCTCATCAAGTAGATTGCTRTCCTTGGGGATGGGAAAGCTGGCTTCAGTTACTTGAGCCAAAAGTGAGCAGGCTCCCCTTTTATCTGTGGCAGATCTATACACAGAGAGTATCTGCTGCTTAAATGGTGGTGGTGATGGCCATCAGAGGTACTTTTATCTTGTCCTTGTTAGTCCTTCTGCTTGGTCAGCAAGCATGTGGATCTGAAGGGAAATCAGGAGCTGCCTCATAACCATTCAGAAAGCAGCAGCTGTCTCTGTCAGCCAACTTATKACTTTCCTTTATATTTGGGCTTGATCTGACACTTTGTTCTGTGTGCARTGGATATGGAGCACAGGTGCACACAACTAAACCATTTGTACTAGAGGGGGCTATARTATGTTACACCCCAAGCACTGTGTGTGTGCAGGGATATACTGTGTGCATGCCCGTAGCAACTCTCTTCCCAGGATCCCTGTCAGAAAAAGTGATAGCTTTCGTTTCTATGTCCTTGGAATAGGACCAAAAATTAATTATTTTCTTCTCTTGCATCCAAAGTATAGATTTCTTCTTTGTGATCTTAAGTCCCATGTCTCTGTTTCAGCAGTGTTGTTTCCAGACCGGTTCATAGTTCTGGGCTTTAACTAAGGCACCTGCTTTRTGGGTAGTAGTTGATCAGTTTGGATCCAAATTGGTGCAATACCGATGGTGTGCTTATTGTGGTTCTTATGTGCTGTCTTCCTGCTTTTCTGAATTATCTGCAGAACCTAATACCAAACTCTCTGAAATATTACATCTTTAACAGAATTTTAGTGCTTTCTCATGTGTTTTAGCACGATGATAGCCCTTCTGCTTTATAGGTAAGATACTGTCTAGATATCTTATGTCCAAACTAATCCTAAAGTACCTTTTATTTTTTTGGCTCTGTAAGAATAATGCTGTATCCRGTTTAAACATGAACAGTGGTTTGGACTGATTTTTTGTTTTTAAAGTGTTTTGTGTTCTTCCTATTTGTATGTTGTCATCTAAAACCAAGTAAGACAAAAAGTAGATGTGCTGTTTAAATCATTTGATTCTAGGCCTTCAGCTTGACAAATCAGGTCAAATTCTATTTAAGATACCAAGGGAATTCCGTCATTTTCATTTCCATCAATTTTCATAAAAGGGATGAACTTCTTTGATGGAAATCTAAGTCAGTTGTCTTCTCCAGGTAATACAAGACTCCTTTTAGTGTAGGGCAAAGATGAGGTTGAG